ACATTGAACTTGTCTATTTTCATTCTTCAATTTCTTGTCTTTAATAATTTGACAAGAATCCTAATTTATTGTTCTTATTTTTTTTAAGTTAGTAGATTATTTTACTTTTTTTATTATGTTTTAAATATTGTAGACTATCCACCTTTGAACTAAATTTTTTTTATTTTCCTAATATTGATTATTTCTTTAAAAATGATAGTTTATCATTTTTTTCGAAATTTTTATTTGATATTAGAGATTATAGATTATCTTCTTTTATTTTGATATTTAAATCTATTAAAGATGGTTTTTATTACTAATAAAAAAAATATTACTATTTATCAATATTTATTATTAAAAAAAACTTTATTAAATATTAAATAACTTTAATAAATTATATTAAAAAATATTTCATAAATATCTTTAATAAATATCTTTAATAAATATTATTAATAAATAAATATAAATAAATAAATAAATAAAAACTAAGCCTATGTAGGTAGAAGTTATAGATACATGTCTTTTGACTTTTATAAATGTTATTTGTAAAATTAAACTTAGGACCAGACCAAGCTTATACTTTTTGAAATAATAATATTACTAACAATGTCTCACTATCAAGAATCACTCTTAAGAATATAAGTACTTAATTTTGGACTTTAAACAAAGTTTCAATTGGAACCAACTAACACACTCTCTCAAAGACTCTCAACTAGGTTGTTATTGAAACATCATAAGGCCATCTAATACTTTATCCAAGGCTAAGTGAGTATACCTAAAGAACCTTCTCAAGCACATACATTATTTTAGTCAATTATTCATACCAACATGATATTAATTGATCACTCAATTAAATCCTTTCTACCACTCTCAAATTTTTTAAGGTAGTGCTTTACTTATATTCTTTTTCAACTTGTAGTAAAACTCAAGAGATTGTTCTAATAGTCTCTACTCATAGCCAAAACTTAAATACTATCTAAAGTCAAAACCGCATCTATGAAGCTTTTAGAAAGCTTCTCTAGAAGACTTTATGAATTTAATCTATATTTATTTAATTCTATTTAATCATATAAGTAACTATTAGAGTAAATGTATTTGTCCATGACATCGAATTCTATGTAATAATGGAAAAATAACTAAATAAAATTTAAGAACACAAAATCAACATAAATGCATATTACAAGAAAAAACTTCAATTTCATATATGAAATAAGATATGATTACTTTATTGTGGATCTTTCTATGCAAGTGTCCTTAGACCAACTTATACAATTTTCAAGAGACCTTTATTCAGATTTTTACTAACATAAGCTAATATTAACATTTTAATTCCTCAAATTCTAATTTTTCTTAATATTCTATCATTTTTTAGTCCAAATTTACTCCGATGAAGGTGGAAAGTGGATTTGTAATGTTTTTTGGCTATAGATTCAAATTAGTTCTATCCAAGAAGAATGGGGTTTTTTTTTCTATATTTTTATTTAGCGGTCCAAACAACTCTGATTTGGGTAGAAAATTCTAAATTCAATTTTTTTTTTTTTTGGTTGCAAACATAAACTAAATTCCTAAAACCATAAGATCCAATAGATATGACAACAAATACTTCTATTAGCAAGAAACTCTGAGTTCTTCCCTTCTTCCAGTCATCTCAAATAGTCACCATGTATGAACACAATTAATAGCTCCAATAGTTAGTTATATTCATTTTAATAATTTTTAACATATTTTTATTAATTTAAATACTAATATGATTAATTTATGGATCTAAATTAGTTTTTTTAGTTAATTATGACTTTATTTATATTTTTAGGTTATAAATTAGGTAGATACTATTAATTATTAGATTGAATGATTCTTAAAAAATTTAAAAATAATAAATTTAGAAGATCTATGATTTTTTTTTTCTTGATCTTATTTAAATTCTCTTTTAATACTAAAATTAGAATTTTAGGAGAATTTTTCTTCTAAATCCTAGAAATTATATCTTGAATTAATCCACAATTTTAATTTTTAACCTCAAGGTTAATTTCTAATTTGACTATGGTTAAAAAATCCCTTAAGTCTAATTGTTAAATTAATGATGATTTCTAGAAGATGGAGGTGAGCTAATTGTTGTGGTGGAATTTCCTCTCTTAATGATTTTAATTACTATTTGGAGTTGAAAATTGGATATAAATATATGTATATATATATATATCACAAATGTATTAATTCAAGGCCAAATCGCAATTGGATCTTGGATTTGCTAAGATTTTATATTTAAGAGAGTTTAAATTGAAGAATGGTGGTCACAACGGCTTTGATGGCAAGAATCCTTGCTGATCTCCAAGAAGACTGATTAAAATTAGAATTATAGTTAAAAATTATAACTAAATTAGTAAATTAATTGATTTTTATGATTAGAACTTCGATTTGGGTTTCAAAATAGTCAATATTAGAATAAAAATATATTTTAGAAACATTGGTGGTGTTAGTTTTGCTAAAAAGGTGTTAATTTTTGAGTTATAAGTATTTCTAATCTTAAAATCGGATTTAGGCTTAAAGTGATTATAGACCTTTAATCTTCATTAGATTTTTTTTGATTTGGATGGTAGAGATATAGCTTCCACCTTTGGGCCTCCTCCCACCTAGTTAAGAGGGCTTAGGTGGCCAAACTTTCCCTTTCTTTTCCCCCTTTTGTAAGGCGAAGCCCTGCCAAATTGTTTCTAGGCTTTTAATTGAAGGAATTTTCTCCCACCTTGACATTGCTTCAGTATTTTTTTCCTCTTTGTCACTCAATTTTAAATTCTTTTGAGTAATATTTTTTATTCATCTTTTCCTAGTTACTAGCTTTTTAACAACATAAGCCACAAGCAATTTGAAGCTTAGACGGATTTTTGGCAAATTTCCAAGTGGCAGGGGGTCTATTGACCTTGGCAGCATAGGAGCATCAATTTCAAAAAAAATTAACTCGGTGACCTCTAATTAAAATTTAATTTGATTTGCTATTATGAATGAAAATTAAAGTCTAGTTTTTTAGAAAATTTGAGTCACTAACTTCCAAGTTATAAAAAAAAATTGATGATTTTTAAAGTGAGGACGGATTTGCTGCCTTATCAATTTAGAACAATTAACTTTAGAAAAATATAGCTTAATACCTACTAGTGTTTTGTCATTAAGTTTTTTTTTGAAAAAGAAGCTTGCTAAGTGTAGTTTCAGGAAAAAATTAGAGTTGTTAATTTTGAATCACTAACTAACTTTTAGTGAATTTTTAAGTAGAAAGGGTTTGTTGCCAAGGCAGCCCAAGTGGCTCTATTTGAAAAAAAACCATATCTCAAGCATTTTGGGTTAGATTGCTAGAAGATTTGAAAAGGTAGAAGCATGTTAGAGTTAAACTTGATCACACCATATTTCACATGTATTGGAGTCTCAAGGAATTTTGGTTATTTTTTGAGTGGCAAAGGTGGCTGCCTACAACTTGATATACTCAAGGTATGTTATTTTTTTCCTCTCTACTCATCCTCTAATCACATTCCTTTACCACTTAATTTTCTGTATTAATTATCTTTTGTCTTATTATTATTTATTAATTTTATTTAATAATATTTAAGAACTTTTTCTTCATTCCAATAATTAATGGTAAAGTTTCATCTTTTCATCCATCTTTACCTTTAAAAGATAAAAGAAAATAAAAATTAACCTTATTTTTTATTTTCACTTTTTACTTTTAATTTTAGTTTATAAATTTTACTTTTTACCTTCAATTTTTTATTATGGTTATTTTTAAATTCTTTATTCAATTTCTAGTAATTAATTCTAACTTATTTTATTTTATTTTATTTTTATTCATAATTTCTAGACTTTAAGCTTAATTAAGTAAACCTTAGAAGGCAATTAATTTATTAGACTATAATGTTTAAAAAACCATAAAAATTATATACTTGACTTGTTGTATTTGGTTGGATTAATTGTGATTATTATATCATTTTTTATTTTTATTTTTATTTTTTAATATTTATGATTCAAGTGCCTACATTGGTTAATATTGAATTTAATCTAAGTTACAATTGAATCAAATTGAACTTCAGTGAGGGGAGAAAAAACCGATCACACCTCCAACTTCAAATTATAATAATTCTATTTAGTATTGATAGATTGTTAAACAAAAATGGCATATCTATTAACTTACATAAAAAATATTATAAATAAAATAATAATTAAAATTCTCTTTAATAATATTTATTAATATTTTAGATTTTTGATAATAAATCAATGACATTGCCTTTTAAAACATATTAAAAATTATAAATAAAAGTTTTATTGTTTAAATCCATATGGTAATGAAATACATTTATGTATATATATATATATATATATATATATATGAATTTAAAGGTAGATAAGTCACAACTTTTAAATATATAATAGTATTTTCAAGAAGTAAAAGAATCCATCCACTATTTATATAAATTAACTTCTACAAGTAAGTATTCTTGTAAAATTTTTAAGAACATAAATCACAACAAAACTTTGAAACAATAATGCACTCATATATTTCTAAAGAAAAAAAAAAAGTAAAAAAAGAAGAGTTAGTTATAACATATAACAAGAACAACTATTGCCAAATACAAAGAGACTAAAAAGTCCTTAACTAAGACTATAAGATAAGAAAGGTGTTGAAAGACCTAAGATGGTCTTAGCCTTATTTCCATATATACAAGCACAAAGAAGATCTTGTAGAAACCTTCTCTGGATAAAGGCTTGTGGCCCAAACTTCTGATGCCACTTCTTATAGATCATAAACTTGTGGTATAAGTTTCTATAGCTACATGATATGTCTATAAAAATCTAATCACCAAATCCACTTTAAAGAACTTCTTTGAAGCTTCTTGAAGAAGATATTATTTTTTCAACATATTTCTACTTACTTCTATTTATTTTTATTTATCTAGAAAATAAGCAGATTTATTACAGTATTGGTGTATAAAATAATATTTATAAAATATTTATAAATTATTATATTAAATAATATTTCAATTTGATGTCATATATAAATTCTTTAGAATATTTTGATTAAATTCATTTTATTTTTCTGAAGTATTCTATATAAATTTATGTAATAATATATTTTTTGTGCTTTAGATATCCTATCAAATATCTCTTTTGTATTATTATCTTCTGATCAATATTATCTAAAAGGTCATCTTTGCGTGCCATCGTCGTCATTCCTCCATGCCTGTTTTTTTCAGGCCAGTGCGAATTAGAAGGCTTCTGCGCTCCCTCGATTATGCTCTGATTTATTTACTTACTTATTTACACAATTGGGGATCGCATGCTGCATATATTTAGTAACAAATAGAGCATTCTTGTTTTGACAAAACTATTTGCTTTCTATTAAGATGCTTAGATTTTTTGCACAGATGGTCAGACGTGATGGAACCGAGAAATCACGACGATGACACGCAAGGAGCTTCAGTCCACCAGGAAGAAAAACAACAATGAAATTCAGGATCAAGCACAAGTTCGATTCCTTTTTGAATCCGTTGTTTATAGAATAAGGTCCTTGCCACTTTGGAAGAGCACAACAACGCCGACTCATATGTGTGTGATTAGCCAAAGGAAAGAGACGAAAAAGGGAGGGAAAACCTGGTATACTCCTTTACTTCACAGACATATCCATATCGAAGGAACCAGAGCATGCCACACCAGGCGAGACTCCCACTTGCCCCTAGAAACAAGGGCACGCTCTCATTTCGAAGTTGGTGAGACACAGCCTTCTCATAAAAGCGCCCTGCAGAACCTTCTGATGCACACAAGATTGGAGTTACTGGGTTCCACTAACACTCGTGACAAGATGAAATCGCAGCACAAAGGTCCCTCGCGATTGCTCCGTCTTTGTATGAGACCCTGATTTGGTCGCAAAGGAGAGAATCCCGCTCTTGAATGTGCGCACGTGGGACTGAGCCCACTGACTGTGCTCCGCCACATCCTCACGCGGTATGTGTGGGGTTTGCGATCATAAAACGCAGTTGGAAGGAATGCTGCAGCTTACCTCGACGAGAAGGGGAGCCAGGAAAGCCTGTTGGCACACTTTTAGGGTTTCGAGGATGCCGAATCCTTATAAACATCGTGGCTTGATATATAAGGATGCTTTTTAAGGCTACAATCATCATAGAATGTGGGGCTTCATCAACCTTTCCAAGCTGTTATTCTCTAGTCTTGGACACGATTGAAAGACTACCTTTATCTATAATCATTAAAAAATAATAATAATAATAATAATTGTCTTGAATAAGTGAGTATTTTATTGTATGTTGAATACATGTATGTGTAAAATGAAATATTAAGTGTAAACTTTGAAAATACAGAAACACAAGTAGGGTTGGTGATATATAGCATTCACTTTGAAATATAACAAGCAACATCAATAAAGTCTTTTCTATAATCACAAAAAAAAACTCAATAAATATATACACTTTAATAATCAAGCTTACATGATTCAATGAAAATTGTAAAAAATATATTTTGTCTTTTAATCTGGCACCACAAAGAAGAAAATATGTTTTAAAGATAAAGGATGTAATATTCAGAATCATGTCTTAGTATTAAAATTGTAAAAGAATTTTAATAGTTACAAATTTGAAAAAAATTACAATTAGCTTTTAAATTTGTGTATATATTTATGCATATATATATATATATATATATATCGAGAGAGAAGAATGTTAAATAGACCCATTGCTTTAACAAAATAGACCTACTCTTGACAAATATGGTAATCATGATGAATGTGGTTGGTTTTTATTGGTTGCATATCCAATAGTAGAAAAATGAATCTAGAGATCATTTTTTTCTTTTCATGATAGTTCGGATGGGTGGGTCCATTTAGTAATAACTTGGTCTATTTAATATTGCCTTATATATGATGACGAATCATGTGTTATAATTCTTTCAAATGTTTATTAACAATAATCTGATACTGGAAGTATTGTCTACAACTTCTTTCAAAACATGTGATTGCTTCTAGACATTATTATTGTTATTTTCTTCAAAACAAGTACAATGTCCTCATTTTGTTAATGTATTTTTAATTACATCCTTAAAACTCATAATCAATTAGAACGAATTTATCAATTTGAAGATTTGCATAGAAACTGCTGCTTCTTATTCATTTATTTGTTTTTATAATGCTGTAATAATAATTTGCAATTTACTGATAGTCCCTTCTGGAGTCTACACAGAACTTAGAGCTGTATATTTTCCATTTTCCCTTTGGTTTCTTACAGCCCTGGTTCTTTTGAATATATCTGTATACTCTTCTCTGAATTGGTAGCAAGTGAAGGGTCACGTTTGTTCAGGAAACCCTAAACCATGTGAATACATATGTTTGCTCTGCATTTCCTGGAAGCCATTTTGGCTCGAAGTACACACTTTGATTATCCTTTGATTCAGCAAGAAATGAAACCCTTCCGACCATTATATATATATATATATATGCATACATTCATATATATGTTTCTTTTTACAATTTCTTTTAATCACAGTTAAAACGATTTTTGTTTTTTATTTTTTTTAACCATGTTTCATTTACACTTGTTGACACTTTGTCACACAGCCAAATCCTCTCCCAACCATCTACTCCAGAATATACAAGCACACAGCAATCTCACAGTTCTTGCAAACAAAATCATAAAAAGTAAGACAGTAGGTATTTTGAGTTTAAATGATTATAATTTAAATAAAATTGACAAAACTTTGTAAGTCAAATGAGTGGAAAATATCATGCAAACATTCCACAATAAATCTATTTCTCCACAAATTCAATTGCTCTAGTGACAAAAAAATATAGAAAGGGAACCTTTAAATTCAATTTTATTTAGTTTAATATGCATGTTATACATGTTCACTTATAGAGATTACAATAAAATATACGACAAAAAACAATTCGGTTGTACACAATAGAAGTAGGGGTATCTATATCTATAAGCCTAGTTAAAAATCCATGGTGCAAAAGCATTATTAAGGTCCCCTGTTAGATGAAGAAAAACAATCTTTTAGTAGTCTTCATTTGTAGATAAAGTTTAAAGTGAGAAGAGACCAAAGATAGACCAAATCATTTTTTTAATATTTTATTATAAGCTTCATATGTCATTCCATATCTTAATTCAAATAATTATAAAAAGCACTAGAAACTTGATTTCTTATTTTTTGATTTTTTAAAGCATTTCTTTTATGTAATTTCTTAAGTGTTTTTAAAAACCCTCTTCTTGAAATGGGTCGAATAGAAATTTCAAATAAAAAAAATATTTATATTATATGTAAAACAAATATACAATTCATCTCATATTATCTTCTTTAGGCATTTGGACTTATTTTTCGAAGTATATAGCTGATTTTAAGAGGTTTTTTGATTTCAACCAATAAAAACACTTGAAAGTTAAGACCTCTCACCTTACCACCTAAGTATAAAAGTGCTCCTAAGTATTTAGGAATTGTAGAAGCAGTTTAATATGAATTAATTATAGAATATGTGTAATAGAGATATTTGCATAGTTCCTATTATGTTTATAACGATCTTAGAAAAATATTAAAGCTCCTTTTTGTTAAATTATAAAGAGTCATTATCAATCATAGATGAATCTTTATATTATATTTGATGGTAGTAGAACAACTATGGAACAAGTTTAATGATTGGATCATACTATAGATTCTTGATAATATCTAATAAAAAGTTTTTAAATTATATATATATATATATATATATATATATAATTTTTTTTAAATATATGTAATATAAATAGATTGAACATATATTTGTAAACATATGCTTAGAACAATAAAAAAGAAAACTTTCTTTAGAAAGTTTCATAAAACTTTTATACCTAAAGCTATATAATAAGAAGTCATTAAAAAAATTTATAAACATTATAAAAAATATTAAATATAAATATTTTAAAAATTAAAGGATATACATACATATACACACTTATATATATATATATATATATATATATATATATATATATTAAATATCAAAGATGTACATATTTTTTAAATATTAGTTAAAGTAAGTTAAATTAAATACTATATATATATATATATTAGTTACATTATTTATTTTTTTTTATAAAATATTGCAAAAAACTTCCAAAAATTGAAATAAATTTGCAAATATCTTTAAACTTGCTTTGAATCTCTATGAGTTTATTTAAAAAATTCTATAGATCTCTAAAGAAACTATAGAAGTTATTTTAAAATTTAGAAACATGTTTTGCAAGTCTTTTTAATTCTTATGAAGATTCTACATAATTGTTCTTATTGTTATTAATTAGTATACAAGAAGGCAAGATTAAGGCATTCTTACTATTGTGAATACTTTTCTTGTCATCCATTTAAAATTCTTTAAGTATATTAATATTAATTATGATATTTTTTATTATATATATTAATTAATTGTATATGATTTTATTATATATTTTATTTTTTTAAAACATTCATGTCTTTTAATCCATGATGCAAGCACAAAGTATTCCATGATATTTTGAAATATCACTTGATACTTCACCAAATCATGCACCTTGTAAGGTGGGTGATTTCAAAATCAAAATATCAAAAGAGGTTTGGATCAGATATCAAGAACCAAGTCACTTGCCTTAGCTCTCTTCCTTCTTTGACTCCATACGACAGAATAATAAAGTTTGAATAGTTATATTTTGGATTTGATATTTTGAGTGATCCTAGAAATATTTACTTAATCCCAATTATTTGGTTTTACAAAAGTGCCATGTTCCAAACCCCCTAATTTTATTGTATCAGTTCTTTGAATTTTTGCTTAACACTCTTCTTCTTATACTTCTTGGTGGTCTTGCTCAACTATTGCTCAACTAGTGGTGGTGACGATTGGGTGCGACTCTAGAACTGCAATGCAAGGGGCGGAGTTACAAGACGCACATCGTAGCAGCGGGGGATGCCCAGGAAGAGCAAGAGAGCCAAGGGTCGGAGAGGGAGACGACGACGATGAAGAAGACGGGGAAGAAGGGGACGAGGAAGTAGTAATAGAGGAAGCAGTGTAGGAAGTAGTAGTAGTAGAAGAGGAAGCAGTAGAGGAAATAGTGAGAGCGGGAAGTAGAGGGGAAGTGGGGGAATGATGATGTCAGAAGGCCCCTGGGTTGCCTGCGCCCACCCACCTTTTTTCATCAGCCCTCCTGATCTAGTGCAGCGATGGCAGCAAGGGTGTATTGAATATTCTTGACGGAGGGGAGCGGGTGAGAATCATGATGGGCATCAGAAGCTGAAGCTCATCGGATCTGATCACCTGTCCAACGTGCTCCCTTCCAATCGCCGGATCCACCATCGTGTGTCTACTTTGATTCGAAATGCCGAAATCTCCTGGGACGACTGCCGCTGTTGAGAGTCGTCGCTTAATTGTGCAGTCATTTTGCCTGCCTAGTGATTATGACAAAGGCCTGGATCGGTAGAGCATTTCTTGTTGACGGCCATTAAGGTCCACCTAATCCCCCCTGTGCGTACCGCATCGCGTAAGCTTGCAGGATTCATGATCATCTTTGTTTCCAGTGGTCATGCCTCTATTTCAAATCTCTCATGCATTAAACATGATTCTCTGTATCCTTACGGTAACACATTGCGCTAAATGGGAAAGAACAATGCACACCCCGAGCGGCCTAAAAAAACAATGCCCCGTTTTCTGTCAACGAATGCAACAGTAAAATAAAGTGCGTTCCCTGCTGTCTGCAAACTCCTTCCTTCCTTCTTTCTTCTGCTTGGTTTTTTCATATACATTTTCTCGTTACAGCTCAAACCTTAGTGAGATCTTTTCCACCACCAAGGAAGAACCTCACGATCTGACCTTCGAAGGCATTGATCAAGAACTGCTTCTCAGAAAAGAGCTCATGACAGCATGTAGGTAGGCGAAAATAAATGATGCTACTTATTTGTAGGAGCCAGTGTGAACTTCCATCAGGATAAGATAAGGATGATGGGACCCCATCTACACTTGCAAAATGAAACATGGGGTCACAATATTCTGGCAGTAGAATATATTATATTTAGAAAAATAGTGTTGGTTTTCCAGGGCTTCCGAAGTCGAATTCCTGCGCAGAGGGTCCTAACTGCCGACTTTTTCACTCTCCGATGTTTAGTTTTCCCCCTTTCCGCAAAATGCTCACGTCAGTAAGACGCTTCCATTTCCACTGGGATGCTGTTTCAGGTGACGGTGCCGCTTGATTCTCGGGGGAGCAGTCCACCCCGCTGTCTCGACAGGGCCTCGACGATAAATAAACGGTGCTCGATGAACGAAAACTGTGCCAGACCAAAAGCCTCGCCTCGCGTTTCAGCTGGTGTGCATCTTGTCTCGCTTCTCGCTCCGCACTCCTATCCCTGCAGCAGCAGCAGGGCGATTGCTCGCTCCATTGCTTCTGGGATCAGCAGGAGATTATCCCTCTCTTTCACCCCTTCGCTGGGTCCCTGCCGTCCTCCGCCTCCTCTTCTCTCTCGACACCACCTGCTTCCAGAGCCCTCGATAGGCAGCATTTTCTTCTCAACGGGTGCAGTGAGAGCATTTTGTGAGGAGCTTTTTTATTTTATTTTATTTTATTTTATTTATTTTTTTTGGGTGTGGGGCGTGAAGCTTGAAACCGTTTGTTGCATACATTATACTTGTTCCTGTTTCTAAAACGGCGAGACGCGTCGATTGGGTCCGGTTCAGTGCAGATTAGGGGAGACCGCGACGGGTACAGCCAGAGTGAAGGCCTGTGGAGTCTTATCGCATTTGGTTTGCAGTGCTTTGTTTGAGGGGGAAGCGGGGACGGCGTAGGCCTTCGTGGTCCTTAGGATTTTTAGCACCCCGAAAATAGTTTTTGGCGATATCCGAAGGTGGTGGAGGCTTATGGACTTGCTCTCTTCACAGGGCTGAGTAGCGGTATTGCAGTGTTGATGTGGTGGTTTGGTAGCTGAGGAGGCGTCTGCGAGGAGCAGCAGCGGAGAAGAGAGGTAAAATAGGCTTCAGCATCATGTTGGCTTGTTTATGGTTTGCTGTGAGTTGCGATGACTGGAATTTGGTGAGCAGCATTATGGGGAAGTTTGTTGCTACCCGCGTCGATTACGGATGTCAGACGTGTAAGTATGTGACGCGCCTGTTTGTCTACATTCTCTCCTTCGCACTTGCGCCTCTGACATGACACTAATTGGAACCTACCGAGATGCATTCATTCTGCTGCAGTCCTCTGAATTTTTTCGTCACCCCTCCTCTTAGGATCTCAGATAGAGACTTCGGTTCCTTCCCATGGTACACTGACAGGCTTTCGTTTTCAGAGATCTCTCAGCCAGCTCACAAGATAGCTGCAGAAATCTAGAACTGCACGATAAAGGTCACGGTCACAAAGTCTCTCGTCCTCTCGTGGGCGGTCATGCGAAGAATCGCAAGAGTGGTGGGTGGAGGGTTTACCCATGTTCTCAAAAGATTGCGCTCTTTTCTCTGCCGATGTCGGCTGTTGAAGTAAAGAATCTGATAGAGCACAATGTAACATTATTCGAGGACCGCGGACTCGTGCTTCGCATGAGCATCGTGGGCGGAGATTCTGTTTTTGTTGACGTCGATCTCTCTATGTCTAGGTTAACAGAATCAACCTCTGCTATTCTTAATCATTCGGGGGTGTGGCTCTGATGATTCCTGTCTATTTTCTTCAAGCTGCATGTGAACACAGCCGGAGCTGTCACACGAAGGCCAGTTTTCTGTTGTCGTTCACTGTAGCATACTGGTCGGTCTGCGTTTACCGTGACGCACATTTCAGGTGTTCGGAGAATTCTGGGAGCCTTCAGTAAATGAAAAGGAAGCGCCGATCCAGTTATTCTGCGTGTACCTTTGCGAGTTTCCTGGTTAGGATTGGTCAGAGCTAACAGTGTTACCGAAATTCTGATATTACTGCCGTCTTTATCAGTTGACACGTTTGCTGGAGAAGTTCTGATATGTCGTCTGCAGTTTTGGCATTGAAATGCATTTGTGGCCGAGTATGCGCCTCCGGGTCTGTGATTGTATTCGGTCATGGTGACAAGGCAGGTATTTCCTTACAATGTCGTCGAGTCTTTCTGAAGACTCAGCTTTACAAGTATTCTTTTCGTAAGGGTTTCCAGAAGTTCCATTAAAAATCGGATTCTGAATGCTATTGGGAGGATCCGTAATATCTCAGATCAATGAGGAATATATTCTCAAATTATGAATAAAGATAGAGAACAGAAACGCAGTTGCTAAGAGGCATTCTTGATAGAGATTTAGTGACTCGCTAAATTGGAATCAGACCATCACACCGGAAGGCACACATATAATGCTCTTGTATGTTTGGGAGGCGTTGGATCATGGTTTACGTTTCAGTCATCACCACTTCTTATCAATTTTGGGCTGTGACTTAAATTTCAGCTGTCTTTTAGATCTACAGTGGCACCTAGTAGACCCAGCTCACCCATCGCAACAAGCATAGTTGACATGAACAAACCTTTCTGTCCACGATCGGCACTTTTACTAAATTCTTCAAATCCGTCCCTCTATCCCCTGCTATTGTTAAGTTCGATATTCCTCAACATTTTACAATGGCTACTTCCAGCTTTGAGATCCATGGAGTATTTTGCTAATTCTATACATTCTGCCCGGCAGCTATACCTACAGTAGAGCGCTGTGAACTGTGAGTACCGTAACAGACAAAGCGTCCAAGATGAAGGTGGCAGTGGTTGGAGTCGGAGTAGCTGGTCTCACAGCTGCCCACACGCTTGCGTCTGCTGGCATCCAGGTAACCCTGTACGAGAAAGAGGATTACGTAGGGGGACATGCCCGGACAATCCACGATGTAGGAATTGGCCTCGATACGGGCTTCATGGTCTTCAACCGAGTAAGTATTCAATTGTTCGTATCAATGTTACAGTCTCGAAATTTCCTAACTCGGCTTGTGGCTCCGGAATCAATCCCGGAGTTTGTCGTTGATTAGAGGAATAGAGTGATCGCAGTTATCAGTAAACAGGTTCACTACAAGGTCAGATGTCGAGCAGCTTGGTTAAACTGGGAGATTTGAATCTATGGCCAACTCTCGTATTGAAAGTATTCATACTTTTCCTCTCTCAGGTGACCTACCCGAACATGATTGATTTCTTCGAACAAGCTGGAGTGGAGATGGAGGAATCCGACATGTCATTCTCTGTCAGTTTGAATGGAGGCAAAGGGTGTGAATGGGGCAGCACCAGCTTGGGTGGGTTATTTGCACAGAAGCGCAATATGATCAACCCTTTCTTCTTCCAAATGATACGCGAAATCGTCCGGTTCAAAGACGATGTGCTCAGGTACATGCCTCTGCATAGTTTTTGTCCCTTTCTGAGGACATTTTTACGAGATTGTTCACCTGTGGATAGTTTCTCTGGGTTGAAAAATTACCATTTTCTGTTGAGTGAACTGCATATTTGCACAGTTGGTCGTACTGTTCATTACTCTTCGGCTGAAATAGTGAATCATTATTTATGTTTTTATATTTTAACTTTTTAAAATTTTAAATGCCGGTCTTTGCATGACAGTTACCTGGAGAAAATAGAGTCGGGAGACGAGAGTATCCGTCAGGATGAAACGCTCGGCGAATTTCTCGCCTCGCACAAGTACTCCAATAAATTCCGCGAATGTTACTTGGTGCCAGTGTGTGGCTCAATCTGGTCGTGCTCATCCGACGTTGTTCTCGGATTCTCAGCGGCTTCTATCCTTACTTTCTGCAAGAACCACCATCTACTGCAGGTACTGCTGTCTCGATTGGTTTGTTAACTCTTGTGATACATATTAACTCTCGGAGTTGCTCCTATGTAACTACCGGAGATTCAGAGAATCTGTTGGTGTGTATGTGCAGCTATTCCAGCGTCCACAATGGTTGACCGTGAAAGGCCGTTCTGAAACGTACGTGGCTAAGGTAAGCAACTTATTCAAGTGAATCCGCTCTGGTATGTAAAGTCGCATGAATTTTCAAATATAACATTCTCAATTATATAATCTGAGAACGTCCTAAGGGGTCTGCTTTAAGATTGTCGTACCTGGTGACAGATGGTTGCAGGGCTTGAAGCTGCAGGAGCCGACATTCGGACAAGCTGTGAAGTAAAGCGAATTAGTAGTATCGCTGGAGGTATGATAAGTCTTTAGTTCTTCACCTTTCAGACATTGTGAGCCTCCATTTATCTATTTATTTATTTATATTATTTGTATATCTTTGATACTGCAAAACAATGAAGTATATTCAGTGTTTCAATTCCAGATCGATTGAGTAAGGTGAACCATTGTATTGAACTTATTTACAATGCTTATCCTTTCCTTTATTCTGTAAACAACTATCTGAGACTGATATGTGAGGGCATTCAGGTGTTGAGATAGAGGATGCACGTGGAGGAGTGGAAGTGTTTGATAGATGTTTAGTAGGATCCCATGCTCCAGACGCCTTGCAGATGTTGGGTGAAGGTGCTACGCACGAGGAGCGTACAATTCTCGGTGCTTTTCAGTATAGTCCCAGGTATTTTTGCCCAAATGATCACAAGTTTTAAATATCGAATGCTTTCTACTCCAGTCTTAAGATGATCGACTTGTAGTTTTACAGCGATTATTTCACTTGTTGCAAAGTTGCAACAAATGGTAACAATCGCGTGGTTATTTACACCTCATTGATCTTGAGTTGGTTGTATGGCAGCACTATATATCTTCACAGAGACGATAAATGGATGCCTCGGAATCAGGCAGCATGGTCTGCTTGGAATTTCTTGGGTGACTCCAGTGGTCAAGTTTGTGTCAGTTACTGGCTCAATATTCTCCAGAACCTGGGCAACACGGGAAAACCATATCTTGTAACTCTGAATCCCACGGAGGAACCCAGACACATTGTTAATGTCTGGAGGACTAGCCATCCCATTCCTTCTCCAGGGGCTGCTAAAGCTGCCAAAGCTTTCGGGAGCATCCAAGGCAAGCGTGGTATATGGTTTTGCGGGGCTTATCAAGGTATATATTAACCCTGTCTTGTGCGGCAATGCAGATCGTATATATTTGGTGTACTTGGGAGAAAAATCAATTTTGGATAATGACTAAATTCCTGAAGAAGGGATTCTCAATCTGAATTCTCTTGCGTTCAGGTTACGGCTTTCACGAGGATGGACTTAAGTCAGGCTTGGAAGCAGCTTTCGATTTGCTTGGTACCCAATTCAAGCCATTACCACTTGTCAAACAAATGGTTCCCACGTACCTCGAATCTGCTACCCGTTTGGTGGTGACAAGTTTCTTGCGCAAATTTATCCGCACCGGCCATGTTCAGTTAATACGTTTTCCACTCACAATTCTGAGTCACTTTATAACCAACATTCGCATACTGAAGTTAATTTAAATCACGTTCTTTTAACTGGAATAGCAGAATATTAGTTGTGTTCATTAGCGCTGTCTGACTTTTTAAAACCTTGTGCACCAGATTATTTGAGGCTGGAGGAACAGTGTTTAATTTCTTCGGTGAGGAGAAAGGTTGTACTTTGAAAACTAGCTTGCGTGTCTCCGACCCTGCATTCTACTGGAAGGTCAGTACGTTTGCTATCTGCACGTTTAAACCTATAAATTAATGTGAGCAATATGGAACACTGCTATGGGCATAATGAAGAGAAAAAAATGTCTATCATTACTTACAGCGGTTACTTCTATGCTGTATACTGTAACGTCGAATACTTTGGCCATGAATTTACCGCTTACTTGCACCACCCGCTGGGTCCAGTGCGTAGTCATTTTGTATTTAGCTGTGATTTAGTGGTTGACAGATTGCTACAAGACAGGATCTGGGCTTGGCTGACGCTTACATAGATGGAGACTTCAGCTTTGTGGATCCTAAAGAGGGTCTCCTCAATTTCTTGCTTGTAAGCCAAATCCTCGTTATGCCAAATGGCGTTAACTCCCTGTCTTTATCTGTGCCCACCTACCTCTGGTTTCAAATGTTTGAATGAAAGTAGTGATAGACGTTTGCACGCTTAGGGGCTTTCCAACAGGTAACACATGTGAAGATGAGAAGATGAAACTGACGATAATGCCTCGTTTTCCAGATTATAATCGCTAACCGGGACATTGATCGCTTGTTTTCAAGTAAATCTTCGGTAAAGTACGTTTTTGAGCAACCTATCCATCTTCTGTAGTTTGTTGCTGTCCAACATCTTGATGCAAATAATTATTTGACTTTTATTCTTTGGTGTGATCACCAGTCGTATGATTGATGCTTAATTTGTTTGTTTCCCACATACAGTCCTTGGTGGAGCCCAGTGCTTCTCACATCTGTATTGGGCTCAGCTACGTCTTATTTCCGGCACATGATGCGCAATAATTCCCTTACCAACACACGCCGCAACATATCTCAACACTATGACTTGGTACTTTTCACTTTTCTTTTCATCTGACGTTCTAATGTTAAATTTAGTCTTATATGGATACATACAGTATGCTTCACGTGTCTTTTTGTTTGCCTTTACACCCATGAAAGTATATTCGATTAATGGACTGTCATGTCTTGGGTGATTGGGGTTAGAGCAACGACATGTTCTCTTTGTTTTTGGACGAGACTATGACGTACTCCTGCGCAATTTTTAAGGTATTTTTGAGTTTCTGCACTCTTCAATTTCAATTACGGGTTGTGGAAAGCGTTACCACTGATGTTCAACTTATGTTAAGTTTTGTCACGGGGGTTTTGCAGGGACCTGATGAACCCTTAGTTGATGCTCAGATGCGTAAAATCAACCATCTCATCGATAAGGCGCGGGTTGAGAGCACACATGAGGTGCTGGAGATAGGCTGTGGTTGGGGAGCTCTGGCAATTCAACTGGTGCGCCGCTCCGGTTGCCGATACACTGGCATCACATTATCGCAGGAGCAGCTTGACTACGCTCAAGCTCTTGTCAAAGAGGCCCGTCTAGAGGTCTGCATCATTTCGTTGTTGTCAATTGATTTTCTCCTAACCCTCCGTTGAGCTAGTAAGGCCTGGGGATTTTGCAGTAAATTATCTTGTGTTCTCATATTTTTCCTGTGCTTGTGTATGCAGGACAAAATCACGTTTCAGTTGGTCGATTACCGAAATGTACAGGGTTTCCATAAGTTCAACCGTATCATCTCTTGGTACGTGCTCGATTGATCTAAATGCTTGCTTACTATCTCTAGTGAAATCACTGAACGCAAGTTTTTCCTGATATAACTAATAATGATGTTCACTACATGCAGTGAGATGTTGGAGGCAGTGGGGCACGAGTACTATGCAGAATGGTTCAGACGGTGTGACACTCTCCTTGCCAAGGATGGCCTTGTTGTCGTTCAGGTGAACTTATGCGATACCCATTTTCTGCTTGATATGAATTGATATCCCGATTATCACTGGGTTGCATTGCATGTGCACCAATGCCTTGACAGTGTACTAGGTTGTGTTAGATTTCCTGAAATCGCGAAGTGTCACAATGCTCATATTGGTGGCTCTATGTGGCAGGTAATTTCAATACCGGAGGAACGTTACGATGGTTACCGACAAAGTTCTGACTTTATTAAAGAGTACATTTTCCCCGGTGGCTGCCTACCATCTTTTGCCGCCCTTACGACAGCAATGAGTTCTGGTTCCTCTTTTTGGTAAAGTTCCATACTGACTTATGACTCATAAATATGGCTTATTTGAAAATGTTATCATATGCAGAACTGCTTGTAAACTGACACTGGAACAATTTTTGTTTTGTTATAAAAGTGTGGAGCATATGGAGAATATTGGTATTCATTACTGCGAGACTCTGCTCAGATGGCAAGAGCAATTCACGAGGAACCGCAAGTACGCGAATGTTTTTCTTTCCACGCACAAGTCCTCATTCATTGTATTATTTTATTTCGGCACTCTGGTGATAACTGATTGCTAACTATAAAAGCATGATTCATTTCTCTTCTAAGATGGCTATGTACAAATGTGCAGCAAAATCATGAAACTTGGTTTTGGTGAAAAATTCATTCGTACGTGGGATTACTACTTCTTTTATTGTGCTGCTGGGTTCAAGTCTTGCACGCTTGGAGTTCTACAGGTATTTCTAAATTGTTTTATGTGACTTTCGCCAAGTTAATGCAATTAGTCTTAAAGGATCGTCGCAAGCATGTCTAGACGTTTCTTACTTGTGCCTTTTCTCACTTCTATTTTCATACTTTATTGCATTGCAGATTGTATTTTCAAGACCAGGTAACGAGGCCTTCTTAGGCTGCCCCTACGTGTCCTTCCCAACTGCATAACTCTTTTACGTTATCCCAACAAAGAGAAGATGTTCATCGTCCATTTTGTGCACATAGTTGACTAAGCTGTTTGTTCATAAGTAGACACACGGGAGACATAGAAAATGGGCAATGAGTAAGGATATTGAATTTAATAGCCTGATGGAGATGGCTTTGCTGCGGAGCGTCGTATTTGAATGACAGCTGCTGTGGTAAATCCTTTTGTATATTTTCGGATCATAAAGTGGTTCTAATGCTCTAGTCTCCAGCAGAATTTAAGTATTTATTTGAGTTAAGATATTTTTGTGACGTGGGTAGTTCCTGAAACTGGAATTGAGAGAAGTCAGTTTGTGAATGAAGTTATAAAGTAACTTCACTGTTGAATTCTCCTTCCAAGTGAAAGTCTGAACTTTTAATAAATATCAGCCTGTGAAGGTGAGAAATAATTAAGTCTTTCACGTTGGATTTGGAATGTCATAGTCTGATATCATATTGGCTATATCAATTATTACGGTGATGGATTCAAGATGTTTGAGCTCTGGGATAGGAATGGTGACACCAGGAGTAAACTTGGAGTTATCTAAGGGCGTCGTAAAAATCCTGCTGTTAAATATTGCACCCCGTAAGTATTATCTATACTTTATGCCAGGTTGGATGGATCCTGAACAAACAATTGTTAGTCTTTCATGTGTGTTAATACAATAAAAATCCTAACTCTATACTACTAACAGTACAATATAGTGAACTGTGGATTTTGATAGGAGTTGCCATCCTACGAACACAAACCTTTCATGAAGTATTATCTGAACTGGAAGGCTGTATAGACGCTGATCTATATGCAGTACTGTTAAATTAAAATGCGTGTTCCACGTAGCCTTGAGCACCATGTCCCCATTCCAGTACTAAATTGTTGGAGCCTGACGAATCAATGAAAGTCATGCTGTACTTGGTCAGAACCATGAATAGGTTGTGTAGTCCAGAGTCCTAATGGTTCAACATTGTACAGAAAGGCAGAAAGTCTGCAATCTCTATTAATGTTAGAACGTGTCCCATTTTCAAGTTCAAAAATATTCAAGAGATACATGACAGGAAAACACTGAAATAGCGAAGAGTGTTGGCATGAAGTGGCGGCTGCCCATCTTATGTGGGATTAGAGTGCAACTATATTCTATTCCTCAATAAACAAGATCCCAAAATAATTACAAATAGGAGAATATATACATATATATATTTTTTGCTTGCTTATTTATTGGTAAACAATGCGATGCACCTTTTTTTTTATGTTTTTTTATGTTTTTTTTATGTTTTTTTTTATGTTTTTTTTTTTGTCTTCAACTATTAATTGCTCCACAACTACCTTTGAAATATCACGTCTACAAAAGAAACATTTTGAAGAGCTGCCAATTTCAAACTTAAAATGTTTTCCATTGTACTTAACCCTCCAAAAATGATGTGCAATTTTCATTTTTTGCAAATAAGTTACTATGAAGAAAAGATATTTCGTACTTATATAAAATTATTTGATATATTAAATATAATCTTCAAACATCTTTTCAAATTTCTTAACTAAGTATAAAATCATTATTTTTATTCTTATGTATTTCAAATTTTTATGTTCAAATATAAAATTTTAAATTTTAAGTTATTTATATTCTTTAATAATTTAATTAAATATTATTTGTTCTAGATTGAATGTTAACAATGAAATATTTTTAAAGCCTTATTTGCTAAGATGATGGAGGATTATTGTGTCTCACTTCTAAATTTGTTCAGTAGCTAAGAAATTCTAAAATTAAAAAAAAAAGAATTATAATCACAAAAGTACAAAATAACCAATATTTAATATATCAAATAATTTTCCATATATATATATATATATATATATATATATATATAATTAAATATAATCTTCAAACAAATAATTTTTTTAGGTGAAACTAGAGCCTTAAGTAAAATTATTTGATATATTAAAAATAAAATTATCAATAAAATAACTCAAATTCTCATATTTAATATAAAATATAAAAATATGATCAATACTCAAAAGGTATTCTATGTGAATTTTTTTTGAGTTATCAATGAAAAAGTTTGTAATATTTCTTTGTGAAAAAACAAATACAAGTCTTGAATTTTATACTTTATGTTGCTTTATTTTTGTTTATTGTAATACCGATTCTAGTTGTAAGGCTCATCTTATGTATTATAGATATTAGCTAAAAATTATAAGTAATTGGCTATGTAAATGAAAAATTAGATAAACTTACTTTATTACTGCTATCCTTAGATATCTTTCAAAATTAAAAACATTTAGCAATTAAATTTCAGTCAAAATTTTAATCAACTCTAAATTAAAAAATATATTTAAAATTACATAATTTTTTTTAAGAAACTAAATTATAGATTTACAAAAATAACACAAATCAACAAATTAAGCCTATTTAATAATGTTTTCAATTTAAATTGATTTGGAAGCAATCTATCCATGATAAAAGTATACATTCAATATATATTTTATATTAGAATTTATATATAAATAATTGATTTTAAATATTGAAGAATTAGAATCTTTGGCAATAATAGTAGTTATTTTTTTAAAAGCCCACGAAATCAGGTTATTTTATTAGCACAATTATTTAAAATTATCTTATGAAAAAGACAAAATTGTCTATTCCTTCATATAAACAATTCTTAAGAATGAATGCCTTACCCTTGCCTTACAAGATACGTGTAATTACAAAAAGACAACAACTCTACAACTGTTGTTTTTTAGATATATGTATTAGTAGTATGACTTTTTCAAGAGGGAGAAACTCTAGAGATGCTTCTCTTCAACATTAGAGAAATATAAAAGAGAGAAGGATTAGAATCCTTGATTTAGAGATCTATGATCCTTGGTGCTTGTTAAGAAGAGGAAGAGGAGGATAAGAAGGGTATATAATACACACAACCTTGTTGGACAATTTTTGATCTTTTGCCTTTGATGACAACCATCATCCAAAGTTGGAGTGTGAAGACTGCTCTTCAATTAGTTTTTCAAAGGTCTCAATGTGAGACTTAAAATTTTGTCTACGTAGCCAAATGACACAAATAATTCTTAACCTCAAAAAATAAATAAATAAATGTATATATATATATTTCTAAGAAAAATTTAATAGAAATTTATTCAAATTATTATTCATAAATCAACAACAATGCAAGGTAGAACACAAGGCATGAAGAGACAATTATGCACAAAAACATACACGAAGAGGCCAAGGAATATTTAATGTTTATATTTAGGAATATCTTCAAAAAAGCTAGTGCTAGGAATCTCTTTGGGCTTTGCTTCCAATAGAAAAAAGAGGCTTTGAATAATCCAATTTAAAATTAGAGCTAACAAAAACAGTAATAATGCTAAATAATCATCTACTTCTAAAAATAATAAATACTATATTTTATTTTTCAAACAATCCTTTGAACGATGCTACTAAACAATAGTATTGAATTAAATTATGGAACTAAACAATAGAACTAAATAGTAGAATTAAATAAGGCTACTAAATTGAACAATTCCACTAAATAATACTATTGAAATGAACATTCTTAAACAATGTAGAACAACCTATTAAGTAATGCTAAAAAATGCCTCATTTTTCTTGAAGGTAGAAGAAGGCTCTATCCTAATTTTGATCATTTGCTATCCTATAGCCACCATTTCTTCTAAATCTTGGCCATCCATCTATCATTTGCTCATCATCATTCACTTATCATCTACCAATTATTCATATAGTTGTCATCAATCCATATATCTATCACTTGTGTAAATAAGGCATGATAGTCCTTGCAAAAATACATGAGTGTGTGGGTAATGAACATGATGTTGTAGTGCCATGCCTCAAATTGTTCTACAACTCTTGAGAATCGATTCTCTAAGTTTGACATTCAAGGATGGAAACTAAGGACTAATATTGTCTAAAATATTGATTTTAAGATATTTAAAATTAAAAAATCTTGGTCTCAAGAATTTTCAATTTAAAGAATCTGTTTTCAAATTTTCAATTTTTGGAAAGCTTAGTTCCAAGAATTCAATTTCTTGGAATTTAATTTTGAAGAGTTTGACCATTCAAAGTGGCTCATTCTAGGATGGATCTATCTTATAAATTTCAAAGCAAGTATTCCCTAGTTTCTCATGTTATGGTCTTTTTTTACCACAAAAATTATAAAATAAAATAAAATAAAATAAAACTTATTCAATTAGATAGCTAATATAGATTGCTTCTATTTTTTCATCCAAAATATATGTTTTTAATATGCTTGTATTTAATTTCTTTTATTTACATGCTAGGATTATTACTATACAATATGTGTTGATGTCCAATCAAGAAGATTAAAAACAACAGAGAAGAAAGAAGATAAAAAAAGAAGTTTTATGATTTGTTTTGTTTTTTCAATATATTTTTTATTAAAATATAGAATTGATTTGTAATATGGCAAAATAAACTCTATTTCCAATGATTAATACTACTTAAAAAATTTGTTTGATTTGGTAACTTTTTTTGTCTTATAAGAAGATTATAGTGGCATTGTGGTATATTTGTTTTTAGTACCTTAGTATGGTAATAAAAAAAAGGTGATTAGCAAAAATTGACACTTCTTCAAAGAAAGAATTTTATTTTACATAGTTCATTATTTTACAAGGACTTATTTATGGCAAATGTATTATCTAACTGCCATATTATATTATTCTAAGAGTTGCGAAAATGGGGCCAAATTGGTATTAGTATAGAGTCTAATATGAACCTCGATTGGATGCTTCAAAAAAATATTTTAATACTTTTACCTTGTACTTTTGTAAGAATTGATAGTTAAGTTAGCCTTCAAATGTATTGTAAGTCCTTATATATATATAATTTTTATCTATATATCTACTTAAGTTTTAAAACATGATTTTTTTAATGTCAATTTTTGCTTTGTGACATTAAAGATTATATATATATATATATATATATATATATATATATGTTTTAATAACCAATTGTATTTAACAACAATAAATTTCTTGTTTTTACTTCTGTATTCTATTAAAGGTAATCGTCTTAATTTCTTGAAAACATTGCAATTTAAATTTGAAGTTTTGATTGGGAAAGTTTTTTGTTTTCTTTTGGTTCTTTACATTGCAAAACACTACTAGTCCTTATAAGTATTGTTTTCTCTCCACTATTAATATTGTCAAAAAACATATTCAATGCTTATTGGTGATGCTTGTGTGGTGGATTGTCTGACTTATATAGAACTATCTCTTGATCTGCTACCACTCCATTCTTTTGTCAATGCATACTTGAGGGCTTGAGGATGGTCCGCCATCGCCCACTTCCACCAAGAAAAACAAACTACCATGCTTTGCATTACACAATCAACAGTGGTTCAACATGAGCCCTATCCGAATATTCGAACTGATATAATGTTGTTAAAATATTGGGAGTGTCGGTGGTGTAAAGAATCTGCACTTCGCATTGCATGTGACAGAGGAAATTCCTGCTTGAACGGACCTACACTGGAAGAACGATTCAGAAGATCTCATTCTAATCAATCCCATCAAGCTGCGGACACTGCAGCACGTTTAATAACGTTGAACACAAGAATTGCAACAAAGCTGTGTATCAGTGAACCTAATCGATTGATTTACATTGTTGGCCGCGGGAAGGAATGGCAACAACCTGGTGCTGTACAAGGGGATCCAGGCTACCTTCAGGAGATGCCCAAGGTGGTCCTGTTGCTGCTTCGGAGTCTAGCTCATTCTCTGCAAACTGGAATGCTCCTTCGATCATTCAGAGTGGTACCCACTATTTTTTCTTTTTCTTTTTAAACAAACTTGTGAATCATCAGCGACGGCGACTACCTGGTTCTTTGGCCGCGTTGAAGTATGTGGCTGCAACAGGGAAACCTAGTCCGTGCTCCACAGCGAAAGTGCGCGTGTTGAAGTTGTTGCGCACAGAAGGCGCGGTCACAAGTAGCGGCTTTCCCGTCGGTTGCTTGAATAGCACAAAAATATAGCGGTGAATGCCGATGGGAGGACAGGGCCCGACATACGGCACGACTTCCTTTCCTGATGTTCTCGGTTTAGCGGCGCCTTGATCCGCCGCACTCGGGAGCTCTGCACAAATTTTGATCACAACAAATGCTATGTTAAGACATTTGTGGTCTGGTCTCCTGTGACCGATCACGACCATGGCCAGCCTGTGTTATCGAGAACCAGCAGAAGGATGATGTGCAATACCCTTGTCCGTGGTTGATGCGGCTGGACCTTTCTTTTTGCGCTCAACATTAGGTTGTTTGGCAGAAGACGCTGGCTCACGAGCTCGTTTGGACCCCTGGCCTGCCACAGACTGTCTGATCACTGGAGAAACAAGTGACATCACAACAATTGTGCACTTTCATACTTAAAAGAAATGTACTTAGTTAATTTTGACGAACTCGGAATCGATGACAACTGAAAGCTTGCGACGATTTAATTTATGTCGAGCGAATTACTCAAGATCTCCGGATGCAGTCGGTTTATCAAGTTTATCATGAACCTGTAGCAAATCTCATCCTTGAAATTCGTCATAACCACATCGTATGCATCACTAGTAGACATACATACATGATTGACTCCAGTGCTTTAAGGAGGTCAGACTATCTTCTACGCCTTGTCTCGAACACATGAGCAACACAGAACAGATGCAAACTCGCGATCGAACATGACGATAAATAGGACTCATGTGCCGACGGTGACTCACCAGAAGTTGTGGTCGAGCTATTTCCAGGGATGTCAGTCACAATCCTGCACACGAGGTGCCAATCCAGTCGCATTTCATTAGCCTCAGATAGCCTTCCAAGAACCATTCTTTCCTGCTATAGTTCGACCATGTAGAATACAACAGACTTAGTTGAAATCGATTACATGGTTTTCTACACACATGAAAACACCGGCTGACATCTCATCGAGAACACAAAACACACTGTACAGAAAGAACGCCATATAAACAACGTGAAAGCAGTGATTGAGCTCACCAGTGCACCCATTCTCTCAAAGAAGGCTCGCTGGGGCTTGGTGCATCAGGATCCGTCATTATCTGTTGCAAAAATGTAATGTTAGTGAAATGAGAAGAAGCATTTAACAGCCATAAGTTGCTATATCTTTCTGCCATGAGTGTGCTGTTATCCGTGTGCGTGTGCACACACCACTGCTCATACGGCCTTGGGAACGAAAATATGTTTTGTTACCGACAACATGGAAACTGGGGATCCTCCACACGTCCCACTTGCCACTACGTTTCTCCATGGTCCGAGTTTTCGTTGATGTTGCAAATTGACGTTAATAAACAAGTGGCACATATGGCTCTCTCAACAGTACCGACCACACTATTCTCCTCTCTTTTCGGAACGGATGGTGAACTTTTTAAACTTGAAAGAAAGACCCTCAAAGGACGTAAAGTTTTCTCCTGCCGATTTATTCCAGGAAGTTCATGAAAGTGAAGTGCCCATCAGAGCTTGGCAATTGCTTGAAACCATCTTCTGGATGAGCGTCATATGTATACATAAATTTCTGTTCTTTTTCTCTGTTCGGAGGTAAAACCACATGGCTAATCCTCATTCTTTTTTGAATGTCATCTCTTTACATCCACAGTAGGAATCTCTTCACCTGAGAACGTCGAGATGACAGCTTATTTCTCCACTTTCTAAGAGACATCCTCTGTGAAAGGTGCCGTTCTATTGTAATTCACAGTTTACATGATGCGACATTCAGTGTACAGGTGTGTGAGAATTATTACATGATTCACTCGGTGGAGATCGGAAATTCCTTAATTGATATTATTTAGGATTGGAAAGGAACTGGTTATTATGCGACACTGGTTTCAGACACCAATTCGTCACTGTTACTATCACATAATCCTTTGGGGAGGTGGAGCCCAGGACTTATCCATCAGACTACTAGAAGAGGCTTACACACCAGAGTAAAGAAATTGTTGTCTCCATTATTGCCTGTTACATGAACAGTCGGTGCCTCATTGGTTGCAGACGGCTTCATCTGGCATCCATTGCTCACCTACCATAACAACCATTCACGCCAGCAGATGAGATTGCAATGTTTACACAGGCATATCCACGTGAAGATCTAGATCTCGAAAATTCTTCCACCATTTCCCAATGGAATTTGAAAACATCGAGCAAATTTTTGACTAGGAGTCTCTAAGAAATTGTTTGCATCACGGGATTCAACGTAATCTCCTTTGTGGTAGTGAGGTCGTTAGAATTGCAAACATCTCAGTCACGTCGCAGAGAGGTTTGATCGGCATTCACATCACATGATCTCCACCACAGGATAAATTCGCAATTCCCTAAGAATGGATTGAGAAAGCGTTCATGTCAAACAATTACCTTGCGTGATGTGTAAACAACCGCCATGTCCACACTTGGAGCAAACATGTCAATCACATCACCGATGACCCTCCCCACCACCAGTGGGTCGACCGACCGCGACATCACCTGTCAACATCACGCGCGCGTTCATTCCCTCAACTTCCGAACACGGTTGCGAATCAATTTCCAACCCTACGAATTGAAACAAATCCAATTATCCCACCAGCAGGGAGTTTTACAGTTAGCTTGCATGCAAGTCCTAATTCACAGGATGGCGTGCCCTGCGCCCCTACAACGTCAACATTGGCATGCATCAACCAACGCAGCTCAAGCTGCACTAACTTTGTAAATCTATCCCAACTGTTTCGCCCACTGCTCGCTCCTCACTGCTCACAGTTGAACGCCCCAAACTGCGTTTGCAATCACGCTCTTTGCCACCAAAAAGCCCGGTGAGAAACAAGCGAGCAGTGCCCTCCAGAGGCCTGATTCTTGCTGTCGAGGCTACACGATCCTCACTCTCGACCTCGTTTTAACTCGCAAACCTCACCGCCTCGCCATTCCCGACACGAATGTGTCAGTCCAAGTCCCTTACTCTTCGCCAACCTTGATCAACGATCTGCTTAGCCTGCTAGAACAAGTCACACGTCAAGAAAACCGCCCGGACGATCAACCGTAACACCGAAGCATCAGAGGAACCCTGGCTACTTAAACTCTAAACCCATTATCAATGAAAGATTCTAACGCATGGTCTGGTGTGCCCTGGGGTCGGACAAATTGTCAAAAGAGATGGCTGGAGGTTTTAAATCGCCTCAGAGGGGGCTACGATTCCATGCCGGTGTAGTGTGCCAACCTGGGCAAGGAGCAAGTGATCCATACCACAAAAGCAGCTCTAAGCGTCCTGGCCTTGTAGAAAGATGCAGGCAGAAATCCTGATGTCACTGCTTCGATTCTATCTGTCACGTACTCGATGTATACACCACCGTTATCAGATTAGAGAAGTGACCAAGTGGACTAGTTTTGGCTGAACCCAAGCCAACACCGTGGCCGGACGGAGCTGCATAAATGGAGTTTCATGAAATCATGAGAGGGGAGGTTCTGGTAAGGTCGCGGCGCCTCTGGTGCTGCCAAGTGGTCTACACACGTCCCCAATTTAACAAAATTAATAAATGTGGAAGTTCCCGCAGTCGACACCGCATTACCCAGTTCGTGCCACGGCATGCCTGTCAAATGTTCTGTAACTTTTATCCTGCCCAGCCGGCCCCTCATCCGCCACTTTCAACGACATCTCCCTTATTGTTGCTCCTTCGATTATTGCCCAAGGCAAGCCAGTTAATCTGTGCTAAAAAACACCATTCACCCTTCTCGAATCGCAGTGTAGCAAGAACCATAGCAGACTTTGAGATGCAGTTTGTGGGTAATTCCAGTGCTCTGGTAACTACCTGGTTTCCCTTTGTCAGGAAGAGGATAATATCGACCCATCTCCGACAATTACTGTGACAACTAACGTGCGAGTAGAAGATCTTACCCGTTTGGCTACAGTGTGCTGCTGGAACTGGAACTCCCCCTTCCCTTCAAGAGAAAAATACGTCAAGCGTCCGTGAATTCGGTGCCGTTAGCGACACAAGAAGGTGTCGGATGCGTCGGTCTCATCTTCACAGTGCTGGGTTCTCACAAAGTAACGAGACAAGTGAATCTGTTCGAAACCACCAACTACTAGGTGGAACTAGACCAGTAGAGAGGAATTATCAATCACCTCTACACACTCAAAATCCCAGCGGTGGAAAAACTTTCTGCAACAGTTGGGAGGAACCCACACTCGGAATGAAGTGGACAGGCCATAGTCGGATTCTTTTATTTTAGTTTAGAAAGGAGCAATTAGAGGGGATCTGAGCCCGTAGTTCTCGATTTCGTTGACGACACTGAAAGCCACCACCGGCGCAACACACGTGGAAGTAGACGAGACTTCGAACATCCTGCCATGACGCAAGGATCAGCCACAGTAGAGGGGCGGCAAATATAAGCAACGCCGAGCTTCTGGAGGATCCGAGGCTCGTCTCACGAGAACCCAGCCAAGCTCTGTCTCTCTGACTAACTGACTGGCTGTCTGTCTGTCTATCTGTTCATTTTTCTGTCTGTAAACCAGGACTGAGCACCGAACTTGTCACCGAAGTTTACGCGGCAATCCAACGCAGATATCAGCGGCACGATAACATGGTGACGAAGACCTGCTGCACATCATTCCTGCAACATCTTCACCAATAATCCCTTCGAAAAAAACAGCACCTTCACAGCCTTGCTGTTCATGTTTCATGTCTCCGCAGACTTCCCCCTCTTTGTATTTACAACGTGGAGCTCCATGTCTTCCCGTTTGGTTTCTGAGATGTAGAGTTTGTTTTTTTGAGACTGAGCTGACCTAACACTACTCTAGTGTGGTAAATTAAAGTAAATTGGTGGGTTAAAGTGTAGTTGAAAGTTCTTCTAGTTCAAGTCTCATAATAAGTAGCACAAGTACACTTTTGTTGTTTCCAGTATTGTTGTACAGATGCATGTGTAGTTTTTTTAAGAAAGTCAACAATGGTGCACTTTGTTTTCAGGAAGCTTGCACATCACCGAGTGTTCAAAAAGAGTCCTTTCCTTTAGCATGGCAGCATCTGAGGTTTGTGGAGCTCTTGATGTGGTTTTAATAATGAAATATGGTGGGGTTTTATGCATTCAATCTGCCTCTTTCACTTAATAGAAGCCTGAAGCAAAGCAATGTATATTAATGGAATAATATGGTGGTGTTTTCTTTTCCTATTCCAATGAAAATTCATTTTTTTGTTTTGAAGATGTGAATGAGGAGATACAAGCTTCCAAAATAGATGATGTATTGGGATAACAAAATATAAAGACACCCTTCAAAATTTTCACAATTTTAAAACAAAATATAACATTTTTGAAAATACAACTGAAACACAAAGTCTACTTAACAAAAAATCCTAAAAAATGTTGCAAAAAGTGTAGTATTTACTTCTTATATTTAATAGTTATGCATTAATCATTTGATATTGTTATTCAAATGATAAATATCATGTATTAAAGTACTGAGTTTATAACAATATTTAAGCAATATTGATGTTGTGCACCTCTTTTTAAATTATATACAACACCAAGATAGAAAAAGAACCTAGAATGATGTTTAAAACTCTTGTTTTATGTAAAAAGACATGAAAGTAATTTTTTGTATTTGTTTAAGCTTAAGTGCCAAAAAAATATCTTGTCAATAGATGTTGATAGAAAAATTGTTGGTCACCAAAGTTACTAGTGGTTAGAAAGAAGAAGGGATCATCACTACTTTAAATAATCTAAATCTTTGTAAAACTCTAATGGTTGCATAATTTATTAGAATGATAATTATTAAATTTTTATTGATATATATTTATTATTACTATTATTATTATTATTATACATAGGATATACTTGTGTTTTCTAAATTTTTATCAAAAATATATATCACTTGTAATTTATTAAATAAGTAAAATTAAATATTATCGTTTTCTTTAATTATTCTTTTATGTATTATCATGAATTTTTATTAACTATCACAAAATAATATGGTTAGATTAAATTTTGTGTCTTTGTATGCAAACAAGGTAAATTGATATTATAACAATTGTAGATTAGTTTTTTCTATAATAGGGAGTAGAAAATAAAGATTATTTAATATATACTTTAATACAATAAAATATTTGTAAGTTTTTCTATTCAATATTATTAAATTAAATCAATAGGTACATATGAGTTCAAAAAAATTGTCATAATGATTAGGTATTTTAAAGTCCTCTTCTCTTTTTAATTATTATTAATTAAAAAAAATTATGTTTCATTTTTATTACTTTTTTATACTTTTAAAATTTTCTATTGTAAAGATGATGTGAATAATGTTAAACAAAAATACTTTACAAGAGTGGTATATTTTCAATTATTATTTTAGATTTTTTTTTTTAAAAATGGATAAAAATATTTATACACAAATAAAATCTCAAAAATATGACACATAAAAAAAGAGTAATAATAAAAAAATAATTTATTAAATACTTAGAATTTTAGGAAGTAAATCAAAAGTCTTTCCTTAAAAAATATGAATTGTAAAATTGATGTAGAAATTTGTTTAATGGCTTTGATTTTGCCTCTTTTGGTGGTGAAGAACAAATAAGAACACTCCTAAGATTGCATGACTCGAATTCAAACTCAAATAAACAAATTTTGGATTGAAAAAAAAATGTATATATATATATATATATATATATACAAAGCATTAACTAAATAAATGAATAAAAATGAATAAACATTTGATAAAATATACATAATAAAATATTTTAGAAACATAAGAAGACTCCTCTATGTCCTGCACTTTCCTTATTTGTTTATTGACCTCTTAAGGACAGTACTCATAAATTTCTTCAAGCTTGAAAAATCTACCAATAACTCCCATCTAAGGCCTCAAATGGTTTTATCATCCACACAACTAAGGTTGGGCAACAACGTCTTAACTAGAAATTGCCACCAGTGAGTCAAAATAATTAAATAATCAAACAAACAAAGATTCAGTACTGAAAATACAATCTAGCAAAAAAAAGGAATCTGACTTCAATATGTCTTTTCTCTGGATATCTAGAGCCAAGGCAAAGTAATGGTACAATCTGATAGGAGTTCTGACATCAGATTAACAAATATTCTGATTACTAACTGATGTGCCATCAGTTAGTTAACTTTTCAAAACCTTGATTGGTAGAAGTTCTGTATATTTAAAACAAGCGAAACACAAATACATAAGGAAAAAAAGAAAAAGAAAATAGATGACGTGCAACATTCATTCTGATATGCAATCTAACCACGTAGTAAACATCAAAGAACTCCATATGAGGGTCTCAATGCGGAATCATGAACCTCACAATGATACGATATTCCTTTTATAACGCACACGTGAACAGGAAAATCGGAAAGAAAAAAAATACAGCCGATTATGATTCAATCAACAGTTATGTGAGTTCACAGTGTCCCTGCTACATCACTCCAATACCGTTGTTAAAGAAGTGTAGAGAATACATTATTGCAAGAAAGACCTAACCCTTAATGCCTGTAATATATAATAAGCTAGGCCATTTTTTTCATAACTGATTATATTATATAATCCAGAACACGTGCTTCAAGTCTGTTGTGGAATTGCATCAGGTCCCTGATTATACATCTGCTCACATCTTTCTTAGAAACAAGGGTATCTATATACTTGAACTGGTACCGATGAAATGCTAACCCATCAACAAAAGAATTATTCCGTGACTTCATGTGTCCTACACTATTCAACTGAGAAGAGAGTGCTTATCCAAGAGTCACAAAACAGCTGTACTACATGGAGATGTCTTCAAGGTGCAGAGATGAGATTTTAGGAAATCAAAGTTGTGAACCAAAATCTTGCATCGCAAGGGCATCTTTCAGATAGTCATTCAGCTGCTTTCGGCACTCAGCAACCATCATAAGAGATTCCCCACTAGGCCTTTCTCGAGCAGCAATGACAGCTGCCTCATATTTACGTGTTGCAAGCTCTATCTTTTCTTTCTCTTCCTTGGATCCTTCTAGGACAGGGGTCAATTGCTCTTCATCGTTTGGGCCTGAGACACATACCAGAAACGTAGTCTGCTGTTCCACCTCTTCTGATGCAATGGTGGAGACCATATCCACTCGGTATGGTGTGTCTGCATCATCCTGCTGTATAACCAACATACAAACGAATTGTGAATAGGGCCTCCCAACAAATTGGCAAATGATCAATTTAAAAGGGGCTTCTAGTACAATAAATTATGCCTTCATTTACAACACATCACAAAGTGTATTACCTGTTCTGACTGGTTGGCATCGGCGAGCTCAGTAGCGTCGACAGCATCAAGCTGATAACGCAACGTCAAAACTTGACAACGTAGAGTATTCAATTCTGCTTCCATACTGTTTGCTTTATGGTTTGTCTTAACTATACCACGCTCTGCTTGCTCCAATAACAACCTCATTTCTCCAAGCCCTTGCTGCACGTCACCTACACTTCAGTACACTGAATATAGAGGAAGATAGGGGTGGACCCAGTGGATAACTGGCACATGATTTGCTGTGCAGAGGAGAGAAACATCAATTTCTAATCACCTTACGTATCTGTTCCATTACTTATTATGAAAACACCGTTTGCTGCATAGTAAAGTTGAAGCCATACTGCGCGGGAGAGGCAACAAGCAGCTATGGTTCTAACCTGGATCCAGAGTACATTACAGAAACTCATTGAAAACGAATATCTGACAGCTCAGACAACACTATCAAACGTGTCTCTATATGCTGAACAAGACATAATACCAACACAAAAAAGTAGGAAGAAGAGGAGTCATGAACCTGCTGTTCACGCAGTTCAAGTTGAGCTGACTGAACATAGCGATCTTTCTCAGCCAGTTCCTGACGCAGCTCATCTATTTGGGCCTGTAACAACTTCATGTCCGCGGACTTCTCTTTGACTACATTAATGCCATTGCCATGAGATGCATTGTTTCCGAGTTGCCTGTCGAACTCAAAAGATCCTCCCTGTGGATCATTTCCCTCTGTACCCTTCGATTGCCAGCTTGTTGTGTCTGTTGTCTCTTTCTCCGTAGGCTTTTGACTATCGTCTGTCTGAGAACCATGTGATTCAAGAGGCTGATTGGATCGCTGACTAAGTGTCTCTAATAGACAATCCTTCTCCCACAACTTCTGTTTCAGTTCTTCAATTTCCACGAGGAGGTGACGAGTATCTTTGCTAACGTCCTCTGGAGCAGTATCCCCCTCAATGCGTCGAAGAATGTTCTCGCTTTCCTCCCAACGACACTCTTCTTTAGGTTCTTCACGATTAAGCTCACGAGTAGGTGTACGCTTTGGGGTTAAGGGCACCTTCCTTGCTTTCAGAGGGCTTTCATAAGGCTGAATTAGAACAGTACACAGTGTCAGCAGTAAAATTATAAATTCAAACAAACACTAGGACACACATGCATGTGCGTCTGATTGAAAGGCATCCATTTGGTATCAAGATGGTAAAATTCCACGGGAGAAATACGCATCGCACAGAAGTCAATCTGGAACTAGGTGATGTCTCATCGTTCTATTCACATGAAAAGTCTCTAAGATTCAACGAGGCATTGGCGAGGTGAAAATAATTACATGTATAAATAATTGTCGGATACTGAAATGCCTAAAAGATTATGGGCTTTGTTATCTGGATTTGGTACATACAAAACCAAGAAGAAACAAAGTTCTTCAATGCAGCAAAGAAATTTCAGGGAACTGCAGTAACTGACTACAGCCACTGAGACATCTGTGCTCCTGATAACACGAAATTTTCGACAAAACTTAAAGGAAGGCTACAGACCTTGTACAAAGATTCTCGAAGTGGTGCAGGTGTGTAAATCATAGAAGCTTGGTGGCCAAACATACTAGTCCGGGACCCCTGCTGCTCCTGCCATTACATAAACAACCCTGTGAACAAGACTACAATGGGTTGCAACCAAGCAGCAAAAATAAATAAATAAATAAATAAATAAATAAAATAATACTATATCATACGCGCTAAATTTTTTGAACTAGCCATTTCAGATGCGAAAAAACCGTGGACAAAAGAATTTAGTACATAGCAGAAGCCATGCACTTGACGGCAGTCAACCAACTCTTTCCACAGATCGATTCACAGACACTGACCGCAAGTATCACAAATACTTATAGATTTAAGAAATTCACGAAAAGAGATCTCGAACCCTTCGAGTTGCAGTACGCCATCAAAATCTCCCAAAAAAACATCTCCAACAGGAACTCCAAATGTACCAGACAGATCCGCCCACAGAAAGTCGTGTAATGCGAATTCCCCCACTCAGAACAGAGAAAGAGGAAAGAAAACGCATGGACATCAGCGTAACGCACCATAAAGCTCTCCATCAACGGAATCATCTCCACCAAGTTGCGGTATAACGCGGGGTCGACCTCTGGAGCCACCCCATTGCCCCCTGTCATCGCTTTGGATCCACGAAATGACGCCATGTCCTCCTCTCCTCACTCTCTACCTCCCAGATCAGACTCCGTTTCGCAACTTTCCAACAACCCTAGCAACAGGTCTTTCAACCCTCGCCTGGCCCTCAGTCCGATCCATTAATTGAACAAAAATCTCCATCGTAACTCTACCGGGGTCATAGCATAAAATCACTGCGACAGCTCCAGCTAGCCATACGTGTCCTAGAAGAACCCTATAAGTGATACAACTCTCACCTCCAGTGTGGGCAATCCTAAGTATCTAACAAAGACGGGAAATCCAGCACCCTCAAGCAACAATGACCATTGTCATCCGCATTGGCGCGCTCGCTCGCTCGCCAGCCCCCACACTGCACACCACATGAAGAAAACGACCCACACGCAGACGACACTTGTGGATTGAATGGATCAATCTGTAATCAGACGACGGAGGGAGGGTACCAACACGCGCAAGGGGACCGTGCAGAAGAGAAGGGATAACGACACAAACAACTGGAGGCCCGACTACGAGTGGTAAAGTTTGACAAGATGGTTGAAGGACCACGGCGAACGATGGATGTGAGAGAGGAGATTCGAAATAGAATCTGGTGGGTTAGACTAAGACCCCCGTTGCCTGAAGAAAAAATGGGTTGTATACAAGGCATTCCTGTCAGGTCTATGGCATGGATTGGCAAGAAGACGCTCCTGCTCACTAGCGGAAAGAAAGGAGAGTGATACGCCAAGGCGGGAAAATATTCGCAGCCTTCCCCGTCCACACCCATCCATCCACGCTCGATGAGCACGTCACACCATCCACGATACACATCCGTCCCCACACGATTTTTCCTCCTTCGATATGCATTTGCCCGCTGCTGCTGGGGTGTGAACGCGCTCCATTCCCGAATTCGAAGCAGCTGCTGCGGTGTTAAATCTGGAGCGCGCCTTCTAATTTTAATCGATTCCAGCTTGCGCATGGCTGTTTGTTCCTTTCACAACCCCTCGGCCTGGACGAACCCCGAAGGTGGTTCGCACATCTCAGTTTCCAGGGGGGCGTTTGGATCCATCACCGCAAAGGTCTTGACAGGTTTCGTATACCCACAACCTCAGATGTCCCTAATTTCTTGCATCGCGACTCATTGTGCGCTACAAATCCAGGGGGGGGGGGGTGGGGAGTCATCAAACCTCGTCGATTGATTTGTAAAGGGGTTTAAGCCGAGTGATTGGTTTAGGCTTCCCGACTACGACGACACTCTCGACAACTTTTGGCTTGCTGTGACAGATTGCGATGGGTGCTGTCACATTGGCGTGTCAGAAAGTAATGGCGCTACGGCTCCACTTTCCCATCGAAGTTATTTGAAAAATATTTCACTTCTCGCCGAAGACTCGAAGCAGACATGTGAGTATCAAATTCCCCAACTCCCCATGGTTTCGTCGCTGGACCAAGAGAACATTTCTGCTCACGCTGCAGACGATCAGTGAACTCAAATTCCTTGGCGCATCATCGCAGTTCCATCGACAACGTGGGTACTATCTTTGGGGAAATGGGTGAGCATTTGCACCAACAACAGAGAGCAAGATTTGATTTGTATAAAGATGGGCAACGTGATACACCACAACAACCATCACTTCTCTCTACTCAGTGAAATCCAAGGGCCTTGGAAAACGTCCATTTCTGCACTTCAAATTCCTCAAAAGTTCACACAACTGAGTCCACATAATCCTCTGCTGAGACTGATGCGGGGGTTGTGCAGCCAGTGCTCTGCTCGGCGACATTCCGCTTTGTCGAGATTCGAACTGTTCTCGAATGTGCAACAACTTTTGCCGACAACAGAAACATCCTCCCCGACACATTCACAATACTGAACCCCACAGCGGCGCTTTCTTCATTCATCATTGTGTCATCCGTCATTTCATCCATTCATATATACTCCATTTTTGAATTGAATGGCTTTGAATGCCGCCCCTGCACAATTTCAGCACCGCACTTGCCTTTTTGTTTTTGTGTGTTTTTAGGGTTTCATGCTTGAAATCTTACTCGTATTCGAGGTTAATGGAATTGCTCATCTCATAACTATTGGTGAGAGGTTCTAAAACAAGGCATCAAAATAAATTAGGACTTAGTTTTAATTCTTACATGCATTTATTTATTTGTTTTATTTTAAACTTATGAAAATCTATGCCATTGGCCACAAAAAAGGTGTGAAATTTTAATTTGTAGTTGCTAAGTCAAAAATTGACCACTTCCAAAGAAATGTTTAGCAAGTAAAAAAAATTAAAAATATATATATATATATATATATATATATAATAATAATAGAATCATTTATATTTCTTTACTTCATTAAAAAAATAAAATAGCTAAGTTAAAGGAACTTTTGAATAAACTACATTTATTGTAGTATTTTTATCTTCATTATTTTCAAGATATAAGATCTTCATCATATTTGGAGAAGTGCATTGTGAAAAGATAGCATACAATTGTCTATGTGCAAATACTAGGATTCTAAGATCTATTCCTATTTTCTTAACAATTGTCCTTGAGATTTAATAATAGTTATTGAAAATATTATCTTTATTCAAAACTGCCTTTGTTACAACTTGAATGGAATCTCTTTAGATGATGGACATAATATAATCCTTGGAAGAAAAACCAACTATCTCTTATAGTCTCTAGGTAAAACTCTTGTCTCTATGACTCAATCAGTGAGCTACATAATGATTAGACATGATCTATTGCAAAGTCCTTGATGCAAAGCAATATTTTGTAACATAATAAGACATCCAATTTTTAGTTCTAAACAAAACGATAGTAATTCAAATATACTTTAATTATTTAAATGTCCCATCTTCATCCAATCTTGAATAGACAACTTAAATCAAATCATTTGATGTTAGACCTACTTTCAAATGTCATAGAAGAATCATTGTATTTTTCAATAAATGTGTAATTATTAATTTGGAATATCTTTAATAATTCTATTGATTGCTTCAACACAATGGTAATGTTGCATTAGTATCTAATTCTAAATAATTAGAACTATCTTTCTTAGCACATTTGTATGTGGTGCGATCTTTGTAATATTACAAAAAAAATCTTCATTAAGATGGAGCAAAATTTTAAATATAGAGGATGCACTTTATCTATTATTAAAAAATTATACTGTAACTCCAAAGGAAGCAACACACAAAACAATTTTTTCTTCACTTTTAAATTTTATTGCTATTGTATTATATACAAATATTTTTCCACTTGCTATTGGTCCTTCAAAAAATTACAACTTTTCAAGATTGTTATCCATTGAAATAAGGATATCCAAATATATGGTATATTGTTCATCATTCAACTTTGGCATATATTCTTCTACTATTTATTTTAGCTCATTACAATCCCATGTCATATACTCCATAAACATTTGATTTGTAGCATTTTCATTCCAATTTCTTTCTGACAATGACATTAATAAAGAAATTGCTAGTATTTTGCTTAATTTTTGAAGAATTTTATCAAGAAGAAATAGTCTATTATCTAGTATTTTTCTTTTTGTTGGTCTCTCAATTCTATAATTTTGAATCAATTGGTAACCTATATCATCACAAAAACTTTCTTCAAACTTATCCTATAGTTCTTTTAGATGTGTAGGTGAATATTAACAAGAAAGAATAACAAATAATGTTCTTAAATAATGCTTAATTAGATTCAATTATTTACAAATAATACTCAATTAGATTTGATTGTATGCTTCAATAAAGCTTAGAAAATGGACTACAATCACTAAACTATATATCAGTTTCACATGTTATTATACACAATGTGCTTACAAAAATAAGGTCCAAGTGTTTTGCTATTCACTACAACATTTCATCATATCATAAAATATTCTTAAGATATATTCTATAGATATCACATAATATCATGCTTAATACAATGCTCTTTTAGTCCATGATAAATCTAAGTGTTAATATCATAAAATATCCTAAAATATTTGTTGATTTGTTAGATGGAATTAGAACTCCAACCTCTGTCAAGGACAAGAACTCGATGAAAAAGCAATTCAGACAAGTGAGCCTTCACTCAAAGAAAGGTAACAAAATATAAATAAATAAGTATGTATATTGAAAGAGAAACTAGAATGGCTATTGCCAAAAGACAAGAAAACTAGAGACCCTTGAAACTAGAATGGCTATTGCCTAAAGACAAGAAAACTAGAGACCCTTGAAACTAGACTGGAAGCAAGAAAGGAGTTGACAAGAGTGAAGAAGACTTCACTCTTGTCTCTATATATACTATCTAACTAGGGGCTACGTGGCGACGTTCTATAGGACCTCCAATATGTGTTGACTTTGTAAGACACATGCCTTGACTTACAAGACAAGTTTTTCTATGTGTGGACCACATAGTTAGCTTGATCTTCAAGCTAACAACATGTGTGGCACATGGCCAACTTGTTGACCACGTTTCTAATCCAAAATGTCAATTAAAGACATCTATGAAGTAAAGCAACATCTATGAAGCTTTTAGGAAGCTTCCATATTAAATACTATAGAATTAACTTACTTTTACCTAATTTTACTTACTTCCACCTATTTGTATATGTAATTACTAGCTTATATGAGTATGTCCGTGACAACCTCTTCATTTTGAAGTATTGAAAATATACACTGCAATAAAAAATACAAATATGCATTGTGATGAGAAACAAATATGTGCATGGATTTTGAAATGTTATTGATAATACAATTATAAATGATCATAATGGACAAGAATATCTAAAAATAAAAGTTCAACAAACCTCATACCAAATCAATATTGTAATTACTTGGAAAGCAAGAACTTGTATTGAATCTGCAATTATCCAATTGAAAGAAAAAACAAATATGTGTTAGAATACCATATGCACATTAAAAATGTATACTAAGAAAAATATGCACATAAATATATAGTCCAAAGAAAATACAAATATAAATTACAAAAAAAAAAAACAAATATGCGCACATGTTTCTACATTAATAGCTTGCTTCATCACGTATTATATAATCATTGGCACAATTAGAGATATGAATCATCCATAAAATTTCTTTGTATGTTTTTTTTCTTAGAAACAATAAGTTTATCTTATATTAATCTTGGTTAATATAGCAATTAATATCTCACTTAATTTGAGTTTTGGTTTAAATTTGGTTCAATTTTTTTGATATAAAAAATGAATCATGTGACCAATGAGAGAAGGTTTTTATCTTTTCTTTTTCATATTTTATATTTATCTTCCATGAATTATTATATATATATATATATATATATATATATATATATATACTTTATATAAGAAAATTGATGTAGAAGTAATTCTTTATAAATAGCAAGGATTTTATTTAAGCATAATAGATAATTAATTTTTATTCTTTATTCTTTTCACCTTTAAAATAATTTATTTATTGGCATGTTAAATTTTTTAAGATGCAAGCTATATATTATATTATATTATATTAGTTTTTTTTTTTTAATTTTTTTTAATTTTAAAACCATAAATTTAGTACATTGTCTTAAATATATGAATGACTTGAAGCTCTATAAAAAAATACACAACAATCATTTTTGCCAAAAGAAGTCTATGTTCTCATTATAAAATAAAATAGCTAAAATATTA